AGTTGTCATATAAGCAGAACCTGAAGTACTGGTTAAAGTTTTAGTAATGTTTTGTGGATGACTCTCAGAAGAAGCAAGGGTGTAGAAGATGGATAGTGCAGGGAAAGGATGGAAGAGGGAAGCATGGCTGTGGTCATATCTAAAGCTGGCTTCCACCTGTTCCCATGACAGGAACATGTCAATTGAAACCCAAAGTTTGGCCTACACTGAGGCATGGAGCTTACTTTTCACACTCCAATTTAGTAACTACAGAGACAAGTCACTGGTAAACCATAAGCCTTTGAGGCAACATTAGCATCCACTATACTCAGTTTCATTGTCTATAAAACTGGCATAATTATGTCATATCACTGGTTTGAGATGATTGTGAGATATCTGAACTTCATAGGTGGGAAGCCTTCAGTTTTAATAAGAAAAAAAAAACCCTTTCTGTTATACTCAAACAATAAAGAGAGTTATCTGTCATTACAAGGACTCCAGAGGTAGAGAATGTACCAGAACAGGAGAGTAGAGGTCATTCTTTCCTCTATTTGCTAGCTAGACCTAGAGCTGGATCCCCTCAGGTTCACAAGGTGGTGGTAGAAAATATAGGGGTCGTACTCGAACGTGATGGCCAAAAAAAGAAAACTGTCCTTCCCTGGGTCAGATGCTAATAGCCCTTTTGATAAGTCAACCAAGAGGACATCTGTAGTGTGTTAAATGATAGCCCTCATGACAACATCAGGCCATATTGTATGTAGAATATGAGGCCACCTCCACATCTTAAAACCTCTAATTTGTGATTACTAACTTATATGATAAAAGGATAAATGTTACTTTCTTGGGAAAACGTCTTTGCAGAGGATACACTTATCCTGGATTAGTTGGGTGGCTCTAAATATAATCACATTTATCCTTAAAATAGATAGCGGTTGAGGAGACACAGAGAAAAGAATGAGGCAATGTGACCACAGAGAGATATATTAGACTGATGCAACCAGTATTTGATTTCCAGTATTTGATCATTTTGCCCTATAAAACAGTCACTTTCATAGAATTCTACTGGATCTTTTTAACACTCCTTTTTATCTCCCAATACTATACATTAAATAAATTTGACCTAACATTGAACTCGTTAAAAGTTTAAACTTAATTAATGAATTCTCACTGATGTCAGCAATATAGCAGCATAGGGGGTTCCTGACTTCCCTCCTCCCAGAAACACACTGACCATGCAGGTGCACACAGGTCAATTCCCTTTGATAAAGTTAAGAAACTGGGGCTGGCCCTGTTGCTGAGTGGTTAAGTTCGCGCGCTCCGCTGCAGGCGACCCAGTGTTTCGTTGGTTCGAATCCTGGGTGCGGACATGGCACTGCTCATCAAACCACGCTGAGGCAGCGTCCCACATGCCGCAACTAGAAGGACCCACAATGAAGAATATACAACTATGTACTGGGGGGCTTCGGGGAGAAAAAGGAAAAAACTAAAATCTTAAAAAAAAAAATCTACTCTCTTAAAAAAAATGTTAAGAAACTGGTTGAATGACTCCTACATACCTGGAGCCTGAGAGTATACCCACATTGAAATAGGTAGGAAAAGCTAAGATATGCTCACCCCATAAACCCCATCCCTGGTACAGTGCCTTACAACCAGGAGGGAATCCACAGCTTTCAGATTATCCCTGAGGAGTGAAGAGTTTGGAATACAAACTTAGGGCCCCAGCTTTTGTGGCAAACCTGAGGGACTGGCATCCAAATAATCTAGCTCTGAGAGCCAGCAGGGCTTGGCATTTGTGAGTCACCTAGTACCACAGAAAACAAAGAGGCAGGTTTTAAATGGGTAGCACTTGCCACGGCTATTCCTCTGGATTCAGAGTAGAAGGAGGAGACAAAAACGTGAAGCTCCCACTTTCTCCATGGAAGGGGCTTGACGGCATATGTTCTCAATTCTTGCTCAAAGGTTGGACTCTAATCAGCCTATATCTGTGATTTAATTTGGATTCTCTGAAATCCTGAAATGACTTCTGGACACCTCTGATGGAGACATTACACTTCCTGATTTCAAGCTACACTACAAAGCTATTGTAATCAAAACTGCAGAATACGGGCATAAAATCAGACAATAGACAAATGGAACAGAATGAAGATACCAGAAATAAGTCCTCAAATAAACAGTCAACTTATTGACAAGGGAGCCGAGGATTTTCAAAAAGGATAGTCTCTTCAATAAACGGTGTTGGAAAAATGGCAAAATCATGTACAGAAGAATGAAATTGGACCCCTTTCACACACTATTCAAAAAATTAAGTCAAAATAGATAAACGATTTAAACATAAGACCTGAAGCCACAAAACTCCTAGAAGAAAGTAAGTAAAAAGCTCCTTGACATGGATCTTAGCAACAATTATGACACCAAAAGCACAAGCAACAATGGAAAAAATTAATAAGTAGGTCTACATCAAACTAAAAAGTTTCTGCCCAGCAAAAGAAACCATCAACAAAATGAAAAACCTATCTGTAGAATGGAATAATTGCAGCCATATATCTGATAAGAAGTTAATACCCAAAATATATAAAGAACTCATGCAACTCAATAACAAAAAAATAAACAACCCCAGCAGAGAAACTGAATAGTCATTTTTCCAAAGGAGATATACAAATGGCCAACAGGTACATGAAAAGATGCTCAACATCATTGACTATTGGGAAATTCAAATCAAAACCACAATGGGATATCACCTCACACTGATTAGAATGACTCTCATCAAAAAGACAAGAGATAACAATTGTTGATGAGGATGTGAAGCAAAGGGAAGCCTGGCACACTGTTGGTGGGAATGTCAATTCGTACAGCCATTTTGGAAAACAATGTAAAGTTTTTCAAATATATAAAATAGAAGTACCATACGATCCATCAATCCCACTTCTGAGGATATATTTGAAGGAGATGAAATAACTATCTCCAAGAGATATGTGTACTCCCATGTTTACTGAAGCATTATTTACAATAGTCAAAACATTGAAATAACTTGAGTCCATCAACTGATGAAGGAATAAAGATGTATATATATACATATATACACATACAATGGAATAGTATTCAGCCATAAAAAGGCAAATTCTGCCATTTGTGACATCGATAAACTTAGAGGACATTATGCCACTTGAAATAAACTCAACAGAGAACCGAATACTATATGACATCATTTATATTTGGTATCTTTTAAAAAAAAGTCAAACTCATAGAAACAGAGTATGATGGTGGTTGCCAGGTGCTCAGGGTCAGGGAAATGGGGAGAGGTTGGTCAAAGAGTACAAACTTCCAGCTTTGAGATGAATAAGATCTGAGAATCTAATGGACAGCATGATGACTATACTTTATTCTCTACTGCCTATTTGAAATTTGTGGAGAGTATATCTTAATTATTCTTAAAGTGTACCAAAATCTTAAGTGTGCCAAAATAAATGGTAATCATAAGAGATGATAGATGCTTTAATTAATTTGATTCTGGTAGTCATTTCACAACAGATACATAGATCAAGTTATCACATTTCACACCTTAAATATTTAGTTTTACCTGTGAATTATGCTTCAATAAACTGGAAAAACAATTAAAATATTTTTTAGAACTTCAAAATGTTCCTATTTCTATGTCACCATACATAATTTAAAAAAGAGTATTAAAAATAAAATAACTGATAAACTAAATAACACAGTTGAAACTCAGAAGCACAATGGTGAGAATAACAACAAGATGAATAATTTATTCATTAATTTCAAACTTTAATAAGGTTAAAGGTAAGCAAATGTATTCAATAAATTCTATATAGATGTATACTGGGATCATAGAGAGATGCATTACAGTCTTAAGAAAAAGACAGTCTTATAAGACAAGAATGATCAAACATTGGCTGAATTGATCCAATTTCTGTCTCTGTGGCTATACTGCCTCCTCCTATCTTCTTGACTTCTGTGTATCTTAAAAGTGTATATGTGATTAAATTTAGGGCCCACCCAGATAATATAGAATAAGCTCCTCTTCCATAAATATGCTTTTCCAAATCAGTACAGTCATTATTTTATCATATGTTAATGCAATGTAGGAAGATTAGAATGTGGACATATCATTTTGAGTGCCAACATTCAACTCACTACAGAGATGTCATCTGGTTGACTCCAAGAAAAAAGCTATAAATATCTTACCGAGTGAGAAAAAGGTCAATTTCTATCTCTGGGCATCATTTCCAAATATGATGCCTAAATTTGGTGCCACTGCCTGGTGACCCTGACAAAAACCAGTCCTATGACAACAACGCTTCATGGAGAACTGAATGAATCCGTATTCTCCCTATACATTCCCTATACCTGAAGTACCTTAATAAAAGATAACTCTTTATTATTTGGTCATATTAAACATGGATTTTATTGTTATTTTTAGATCTGAAGGCTTTCTCATGGATAAAGTTAATTATGTCATAATCATCTCATACCACTGAGATAGTCTAATTATGCCAATTTTATGGATAATGAAAGTGAGTATGGTGGATGATAATGTTGCCTCAAAAGGATACAGTTTGCCAGTGACTTGTCTAATTACTAAATCGGGGTATGAAAGGTCTGCTCCCTTGCCACACTGTAAGCCTAACTCTGGGGCTCAATTGACATGGCTCTACCATGGGACCGAGTGGAAGCTAAATTCTACATATACCCACATTCTTCATTCAGTCTGTTCCCTGCTCTATCCACCCTCTACAAGTTTCCTTCTAATGAAATCATTGAAAAATCACTAAAACTAGAGCCCCACATCAATCTCTGTTTCTAAGGAAATTGAGCAAACACATTGAGTTTAGAGAATTGAAAAAGCAAAGTCATGATTAAAGGCAAAGTTGAAATGCCTCAGCATTAGGTAATCTGCTCATTTAAGAATAACTTGCAGATAAAAGAATTTGTCATTCTTCCTCACCCAGGATTTCTGTCACTTTGACTTATTCTAGAAATCCCTGTCCAAAGCAGATGGCAAATCATCGAAGAGAAAGTTTTCTTGTGGTGAGTTTCTTCAAGGCTCTCTTTACGTCCCTGTTCCTCAGGCTGTAGATGAAGGGGTTCACCATTTGAGGAAGCACAATGTACATCATTGAAGCCACTGCCAGCTTCCTGCGAGAGTCAGTAACTGAAGAACTAATATACACTCCAAAACCTGTCCCATAGAACAAGGAAACAACTGAGAGGTGAGACCCACAGGTGGAAAAAGCTTTACACTTTCCTCCTGCTGATGGCATTCTCAAAATGGTGGAGACAATTTTGGTATAAGAGAAAATGATGCCAGAGAGAGGAATACCGCCAAGTATGCTAGCCATAAAATATGTCAGGATGTTATTTATGAGTGTATCAGAACAGGCGAGCTTGAGGACCTGAGCAAGTTCACAGAACAAGTGAGGGATTTCCAGGTCCTTGCAGAAGGACAGCTGCAACACCATCAGACTGTGGAGCAGGGCATCCAAAATGCTGAGGAACAGAGAGAGTAGAATCAGCAAGCCACAGAGGTGGGGGTTCATGATAACCGTGTACCTTAAGGGATGACAAATGGCCACGTAGTGGTCACAGGCCATTGCTGCAAGGAGACAATTTTCAAAACCAGCAAAAACCAAAACAAAGCAGGTCTGTGTGAGGCAGGCTATATAAGCGATGCTCTTATTCTGTTCTTGTATGTTCAGCAGTATCTTTGGGATTATGGTTGTGCTTATACAGATGTCAGTAAAGGACAGATTGGAGAGAAAGAAGTACATGGGTGTGTGCAAGTGGGAGTCAGTGATGACAGCCAAGATGATTATCAGATTTCCCAGGATGGTCACCAAGTAGATGGAAAGGAATAAGTAGAAGATCAGGGGCTGCAGTTCTGGATCATCTGTCAATCCCAGTAAAAAGAACTCTGGAGCATTTGTGTGATTTGTGGTTTCCATGTTGTTGATGAATCTGATGGAAAAGATGGGGTGAAAAGACAATAAAACGAATGGTCCCCAGATAAGCAGTAGAAGCATCAACAAAGAACCTTTCAGGAATGAATAATGGTGATAATGCTCCAGACTTACTGCTGATAAACTCCGGAATGGGACCATCAATCTGTTTTAACAAGCTCTTCAGATGAATTTCGTACATTTTAAAGTTTGAAACAAGTGCTTAAACTAAAAGAAAACTTCTCTATGTATATTGTGAAGCCAAGAGAATATTCAAATCTTTGCATGTGATAATTTCTCCCTCCATCTTCATTTCTCACTCTTCCTGTTTCTTCCACTCTCTTTATTGGCCCTTGTTTTTATTGATCACTAACTCTTTTTTCCACTTTGCATCAAGTGCTGAAACCAAAACAAAGAAAAGATATGGCATTTCCGTCTGAAATGTTTATTCACTCAAACAAACAGAAGGATGTGAATGAAATTATCAAATCTGTCTTGTAGGGTATGGTCCCCAAACTTTGGGATGCCTCCAAATCATCTGAAGGGCTTGTTAAACTACACGTGTTAGATCATAGAATCACTCCATTTATTCTTAGGGAAACTTAGGTAAGATGAGGCTACATCATGGACGTGAAGTATATGGTTAGTTCACAGCAAGCACTAGGTCTGAGATCAGATCATCTAACTGCTGAATTGACTCACTTGACCAATCTCTGTTAATGCCTCTGGATAGTACAGAATTAGTATTCCTAAATGATCACTGAGATGTCATACTTCCTCTTTAAAACTGTAATATATTCTTCCTGAACAGTGCCCTAAATCTTTTCACTTCCCTACAAGACGTGTCCACCTCTACTCAAGAATATCGTGTGTCAGGTGCATGGAATTCATCCAAGTATGCTCTCTACACCTGAGTAAAGATTAGAAAATGTTGCCTATAAAACCGATGTTCAGAAGACTCTCCTGTGGAAATTATGGTTAACTGTGTTAGCAATGGATTCCAAGATAAATTGGAAAAATACATCAATGAAATTCTCTGTCTCATCCTAAGAATTTCTTCCCATAGGGTGATTGGTGGCCTATCATTAAAATAAAAACAGCTAAACGAGAGAAAGAATGAAATGCATAGGTTCCTATGAAAACAGTCTAAGTTTTTGGTCCTTGGAAGATAGGGACTTCAAGATATTAGAAATATATGTTTCTTATAAATAATCAAGTGTCTCCACAGGATTGTCTCTGTAAAGTGGTACTCCTTCCTCTCAATGGGGAAAAATAAGTTGCCATGGTAGTCTTTAGCATTTGGTGTATTTCTTAGACTCAATCAGAATTTATTCCAGATCAAGACTTGCTCTTTGAAGGAAGAAATTATTTACCTGTATGAAAAGCCTGATGTCCTCATTTCTACAGTGAGAACTGTCATGAAAACTTATGGGGATGTTACTGTGATGAGAATTAAATGGACAAAAAGAATCCAGCAGGCACTCAGCATTTGGGACCCTTGTACTGACGTTTCCTATTGTAGTTATTTTTCTTCCATGAACAACAGCTCCTTGTATGTTTCATGCCTCAGAAGAAAGCAAAGGGGTGGGACAAGTTAAGGAAAAACAATAGAAATAGCGAACATCCCTAGACGGTAACTGAAAATTTCAGGCAAGCATTTATGAGCTGAAACTCCAGATAGGAATCTTTATCATGTAGCAAAGGAATGAAAGAAACATTGGTGATATTAATATCCATTTGAAATGGACACATGATGAAATATATAGCTATTAAGGTGAAACAAATAATAAAAAGAATCAAATATATGAATCAATACAAATAATGAAAACCAAGAGAAAAAATTTTGCATGACAAAAACTCTATGGTATGAGAAAATCTTAAAATTGTCTGATCCTACATAGATATATTTATTTTTACTACAAATTATTCAAGTGAAAAAATGATATAGAGATAACAAGGAAGAGCTTTGTACCCAACAGTCAAATTTATCAAATTCATACATTTCACTTTTCTCATTGTAGGTATTTTTATTGCAGTAAATAACACAAGTACATGTGAAGTGCCCACATCGTGTATTTGCCCAATCTTGATTATTTTCCTTCCTCAGGGAACCCACTACATGAAGTTCATATGTGTTATTTCCCTGCAACTTTTACTATAATTGGTATTACTGATCCAGAAAAAATGGCATTGTTTTTCATTTTGAAAGCTTTATATAAACCATACCGTACATGTCATTTACAATCGACATTCTTATGTAATTTATTTTTGAATATGTTGATGTATTTAGTCCTGTTTCATTAATGTTAATTAGCAGAGAGTATTCCAATATATTGTTACATCATGATTTATTGCTCTATTCCTTAACTGATAAGTATATGGCTAGTGTATTTCATTCTATACGTGTTTATGAATATACATACAATATAAAGCTATGAATGGCATTACCATTACATTTTATATGGTGTTTTCTCTATGAAGGGGAGAACAATAACTGAGAGGGACACCAAAAAAGGGCCCTTCTGTATGTATATTATTTTGTTACTTTATAAAAAACATTAGAAGCTGATATAGCAGGATATCAACATTTGTCAATTCTAGAATGAGTGAAGGGTGGTCATATGTTTTTTATTTATTATACTATTTCTGCTGTTGTTATATAAAATAGATGGTAATTTAATGAATAGAAATGGGTGTACCAGGTAACTGGTTGAGTCTCTCTCTGTCTCCTCTTTTGCCCATGCATACTCACAGCCCAGCAATGGGGACAATAAACTCTTCTGTGTAATGGTGTACCAATAATCAGGAACAGAAATGAAAGGAGAAACTGACCAAACACCTTTGCCATGTCGGCACAGGAATTCAAGTAAAAGTCATAAAGGTTTATAGCAGACATCATGTTTGAGGAAGGGCTGATATCTGCTTTGGAGTCTAATGGGTTCTTCAATATTTTAGAGAAAATAGGAGACTAGTAGATTGAGAAATGGCTGAGTACTGGTATATAAGTAAATGGGAACTGTCAACAAGAAGACAGTTTGGCTGCAGTCCCAGGGGACACCTGGTTCTGACGATTCCATGCGTGTACCCACCTCATTTCTCCCCACAGATGAATTCATAGTAAAACAACACATTAACTAAGAGAGTTAAGTTACCTGACTGGCATCACTGTGGAATGATGCTGAAATGTCACCTGGGTATTGAAGAAAGAAGACATGTCTTCAGGAATAGCAGAAACACAAAGTGAGGCAACAGGCTCATGGCCAAGAAAGATGATCACTGAATGGAGACTCAGGTGTGTTCCTTCCTGACCAGGCAAGGGCTATTGAATGAGGTTGTCACAGGCTGACTCTTTACAGTCCCTATATCCCTCTGGGATCAATATCCAAAGCTCCTCATTAGACAAAAATTTTTAGTGTCATCCTGACTCCTGGGAACAGCAAATACTTAAAGACCAAGACTATGGAAGAGAGAAATTCATGATGGCTAATCCCTGACCCTGTGAAGCCAGGTGTACACCATACAGTTCTCTCCACCAGTTCATGTTCAGCTCCGTTTCACATATGTCATGTACATGTACACATACCTTTTTTTTACAATGAATACCAGTCTCCTCTTTTTAAAGTTACAAATAAAAGCAGCTCTATCTAATTACTGGTACCTTGGATCCTGATCCCAGTTTTAAGTGTTAAAGCATAGTTTACATATTAGGTATAAATAATATGGTTATAAATATAACAAAGACATTGTAAAATTCAAACAATTAGGAGTATTTCATTGTTAGAGTCATTGAATGTTTTCTGTACTTTAATTTCTGTTCTCTATATATCACACAGAAGGATATGAAACAGCTCTGTGATCATTGAGTGTAATCAATATACATAGACTTAATTCTCCCATTTTAAACTTTCATAACCACTTTTCCCTATTTCCACACAGTAGATTCAATGTACATTTTTCTTCACATTGGGAGACTTTGGGTTGCATTATCGTTGCTAATTTTTAATTGTATTGTGATAAAATATTATGACACTGAAAGGCAATAGTGTGCAATTTTGCCCATTATCTAATGGAAGTCATGAGATTTCATCTATAATTCAATAGATGGGGATGATGCTCTATGTTAATATTCACTTTAAAAAACTTTTTAAGAGCTTTAATATTTTCTTATGTTCATCAATTTATTTTGCAATTTCATTCTTTCTATTATTAAATTTTTAAATCCATTTTTCCAGATATATAACCTTAAAATAATATTATGACAAGATGACATAGTAATGTCATTCTTCACCATCTTTAACTTCATTCACTACAATCACATGGGAAATAGGTAAAATATAGAGAGACATCGCTGAGTCAAAAACATAGTTTCCCATGTACCACAAAAGAACTGAAACATAAAGTGATAGTTGAGCTGGAGCCAAGTGCTTTACAGATTTAAGTCCATAGGTGAGAAAGTACTTACTCTTTAGGCAATGAGGATTGAATGTCTTAGAAGAGTAAGTGCTTGAATCCAAGGTCAGAGGTGGAACTTACAACTCAAACATAAATTTACAAGATAGGTTATTACAATGCCTTGTAAAACCCCTACCCAAGAAAATACTAAAAATCATTTTACTAGGCAGGTGAAGTTGTTCCATTCCGTGGCCCCCTTGTGATGCCCCCATTCAGCAGGAAGAAGCCAGACTTGAGATAACACCCTTAATCCCATGAGATTGTGGAAAGAACAACTGACAGTGGGGGATTAAAACCAAGAACTAAGAGGTTAGAAAATCTTCCCTAGAGCAAAATCTTGAGATAAGTGTTGCTAACTGCAGCTGTGCATGTTCAGCATAATCAACTGCTGTTTAAAACTCTCCAGGTCTTTCTATCCCTTTTTACTACATGAGTGAGCTGTCTTTCCCAGAAACTCAAGGTCAGACGTCAAGATTCAGTCTTCATGGCCAAACACAGGCTGGTTGGAAGGCACAAACAGCAAGGAGACATGCTGCCCCTCCCCGATCTAACAGTGGAAACACGGAACAACCAGAAAGCAAGAGACAAAATGGCAGCATTAAGCCCTCAAGTAACAATAATCTTGGTTTCCTTATTAAGGCTCCTGTGTCACATAAATCTTATGTTAAATAAGTGTCTATGCTTTGCTCCTGTTCATCTATCTTGGTCTCTAATTTTCAGACCCAGTCAGGGACCAAAATACAGTCAAGTGAAAGTTTTTCCTCCTCTAAAATACTATTCATAAACAATGCTATTGTCCTGTGTTTAATTCTTTATATACTGTAGTGTCATTTTTAAACTGGTGTTTAAAAACAACACATTTCATGATTTACCACTCCTGGTACATTTCACTCTGGTTCACTAAATTTCATTATGTTATATAATTCACTGTCTTATGATGTAACAATTAATTTTTTCTTCTCAATTTTTTGATCTCCTTGATTGTGAGGTATATATGTATACACATGTAATATATACACAGATATACATTTGTGAAAAAATGGTTTAAAATAACAGCTGGAAACTGAGCATATTCAAGACTACTTGCCTGGGAAGCAAAGAAGGAGAATGGAGTAGAATATTAAGTGTGTGTCATCTTTATGCATACTACTTTTATTTTAAGAAGATAATTTCAATGGCAATATGTCCACATTTGCAAATTCTGGAATCTGTCCTATTCTCTGTACTAATTTGCCTTTTAAAATATTACATACATAAGTAGAGACACCAGTAGACTGCAGACGGAACCTGTAGAATTTACCTGGTTTTTCACATTCTCCCCAGCCTCCTCATCTCCCCTACCTAGTTATATCAGAAAAAAAAAGGAAAACAACTAGAAACTGACCAGTTTAACTTTCACTGGTAGACAGAGACCTCTCCCTATTTCCAAAATATAAACAAGTGGTCTTCAGATAGTGTTGGCACCCAACAATAAGGAATGACATTCGGTACCAACAGTAAGGTATGACATTCAGTTCTTTTCTGGATGTTGAGGAATAAAAATCAGACTTTCTACTCAGGGACACAGAAGTACAGAGTGAACCGCTAGTTTTCTGTGCAAAAGTAATTTTTCTGGGGATGTGACTCCATTGTGCTGCCTACCGACCACACAGATATTAACAGTTTATTTATTGCAGAAGCAAGACTGCAATGACTGAATGGACTATTTATTAAAAGGTGCAGGATCTTAAAAATGAATCTGATTCCTGCCTCACATCAAATGCAAAACTAAATTCCAGGTGTGTTCATTCCTCAAATATAAAAATCAAGACTACAAATTCTTCAGACCCAAGTAAGTAAGGGTTTCATAAATAAGACCTATTGAAAAAAAGGCATTATGGAAGGTATTGACAAATTCAACTAAACTAAAACCAAGCACTTGTGTTCATTCATGAAATTCTATAAAGGATATGCAAAAACAAGCCACACACATAAAGAAGAAATTAACAGTGGCTATCACTGACAAGGATTAATATCCTGGTTTTATAAAGGACTCTTAAGAATTAATAAGAAAAAAACAAGCTCAATATAAAAACCATAATTAGATAAGTAACAGAGACTAAAACTGAATGGGACATGAATATGTGAAAAGACCATCAATCTCATTAATTATAAGAGAAATGCCAAATACTAAAATAACTTTTTATGCTCAGTAGATTGGTAGCACAAATGAAAGTGTGTTGGTGATGATATAGCTCACTAGAAAATTCTAGTGGGTGTGTAAAGTGGTTCAACCAGTTAGGACAGTCTTTGGAAACATCCAAAGAACATGCACTCCTGTATACCCAGTAATTTTGTCCCAAGAATAAAACACTCTTCTTCCCATCAGGAAACAGGTTTGACAAAATTTACACCTATTTGTTTATTCATAATGCAGAAAACTACCAACCAAAACATCTTTCAACTTCACAGGGATACCTATCTTGTAATGTCACCATACATAACATAATAATAGAAAGCATTGAAAATAAATATATTACCACTAAAACCAACAATGCTATTGAACCTCAAAAGAACAAAGATGGGACTGGCCCTGTTGCCTAGTGGTTAAGTTCAGTGTGCTCCCCTTCCATGGCTTTAGGTTCACAGGTTCGGATCCTGGGCACTAACCTACACCACTCATCAGCCATGCTGTGGTGGTGACCCATATGCAAAATAGAGGAAGATTGGCACACGTTAGCTCAGGTCTAATCTTCCTTAAGCAAAAAAAGAGGAGAAAAAAGAGAAGAATTGACAACATATGTTATCTCAAGCCAAATTTTCTTCAGCAAAGAAAAAAGAAGAACAAAGATGGAAAAACAGTCAAGACATAAAACACATACATTAAGGTTCAACTTCTTCAAAAAAGGGTAATTTACAAACTTGAGAGAGATACATTTGGGGTGATGAAAGAGTAACATTGAATTCTATTGCCATTTTGGAGGGCAAATAGGATCAAATATAGGCAATTTCCTAGGATTCAACCTCATAGAAGAACATCAAACAAATTATAAATTCAGAATTGAGTATTGCATTTGCCATTGGGGGAGAAGGTGTGATATGACTGGAGCACCTTCAAGTGGATTCTCTGGTGGTAGCATTGCTTTATTTCTTTATCCAGGTGATAGATATATGTGTTCCATTATGTTGCTGTTCTTTAAGAAGTATAAATACATTTTATACACTACTTTGTACATAATTTAACAGGAAAAACTTAGGAAGGGACTTTATATTCCAGATTGTAGACAGTTTCTCCCATAGGCTTCTAATATTTAACTTATGCATTTCAAATGTCAAAGTGCAGCAGGATCTCAGAAAGTGCCTATTGAAGGTGTGAATCCTTTCACATTTCTGCATAGATCCAAAGTCTGTAGGTCTTGTGCAAGGTCCGGTAAACTTCCTGATGTACAAAAGCCACAGCTGACTCATTTTTGCCAGTGTCCTGTGGAAGTCAATGCAGCAATCTTTAAATTACAAGATACGGTGACACCAGTAAGGGAGCTGACCTCAAATTATGGTGCTGAACGTAATGTCTCTCTCTCTTCCTTCCAAGATGACCATCAGAGAAGGCTCCCTGGACACTTGATTCTCCTGGGAGACCTCCATCATTTTCACCCACCAACCCACAGAAATTATTCTAATGGCCCTGCTTTTTTCTGCTTTTGAAAAAAATGACCCTCCTAATTCTGCCAGCTTTCATGTTCTGCTGTGCTGTTTTAAACTCAACATTTCCTTCTAAGTCTGAAGTCTACCTCCATAGAAAATAATTTTCTTCATAGAGACACATTAAAAGTTTTTTCAGGAGAGGCCAAAGACAAGCCATTCTCTAAAAATTCAATGATTAATTCATGTTACCCAACCATGTTCTCTGTTCTCCAGCAGAGATGAATGAGAAACACAGCAAGATGAAGTGACTGGGGAGAAAGTAAAAACTCAGGTATATTATGACAAATAAATCAATAGGAAGGAATTATAGCAAACAAACTGTGAGGAAAATATTACCAGTCTTTGCTCTTCCAAGATAATAATGCTTCATATGATCATGTTATTCATACCTGAAAAGGCTGCTGATAAATATTACTAATATGGTAAATAAATTTCATTATTGAGATCATTATTCATTATTGAGAAAACTATATGAGAGCAAAATAGTAACTAGATTAATGAATATCAGCAAGATATGGACCACATATGCATATGGATAGTAGTTAAAGTTCACTGAGTACTTTGTATGTGCCAGGCATTGTTGTGACCATTGGTAGCGGTTATGAGGTTGACTTCTTAATACGAATTACATTCCAGAAGATGAGTTAGTCAAAACCTCTCGTAGTAATAATTTTCCCCAGTCAAGGAATTACATCAAGAAGGAACTGATGATTCTACTCTTAGTGATGAAAGGAAGAGATCGACTCCATAGAAAGATACATTAACAGCAGATCATCTATGAACCACAGGCCCTGGGAAGGACGGTCAGTTTTCCGTTTCATCTGGATATGTTTGCTCCATCTGTTGCAACCACATGGACCACGAGGAGAACAAGACCTAGGATGAAGCCACCACAGAGAGGAATGTATGAAGCCGTACTTTCCAGTTCCTGTATGCTCGTTAACTCTGAAGACCTTATAAGGAAAGAAAACTTTACTTTTTGCTAGATTTATTGAGGTATAATTGACAAAATTGTATAAAATTAAGGTGTTCAATATGGTGATTTGATATATGTGTATATTATGCATTGATTACCACAAGAAAGTTAGTTAACACATCTGTCACCTCATAACTCTATTGTTTGAGCACAATAGACTCAGAGTTTCTTTTTTTTAATACAATGAAAGGATTCCTCACTGATAAAGTTCAATTACCTCCTATAACATTAAACCACTAAGATAATCCCATAATGCCATTTTATACAAGATAAAGTGTAGTGGATGTTAATGTTTCCTTGCCCAGTTACTGGACTCAACGGCTACTGAATTGAGGTATGAAATATTAGCTTCCTTGCCTCATAGTGGTTCGAACTCTGAAGGGAAATTCTTATGGCCAGAACCATGGAATAAGGCAGTAGCAGCCTCTGACAGTCACCGCAGCCTTGATTAGATCTTTTCCCTGCCCTATCCACTTTGCCGAATTCTCTTCTTCTAAAAACGTTCCTTTCAAAATCACTATTACAATCTGACTCAGGTGCTCCTTCTAAGGAATCTGACTCAGAAACTGAGATTAGAGACTGGGAATTACTGGACAAGCATCACAGATCTATATAAAGTGCAAATTCGGTCTCCACTCCAAGTGAAAATGTGCCAGGCTATTATGCTGTCTGGTCATTTTAGAAGAAGGTGATGGAAGTCAAGCATTCTGGTTCACACTGAATTCCTTTCACTTTTATCATTCTAGAAATGGCAGCCAAAGCAGATGACAAAATCATTGAAAAGAAGGTACACTCCCACTGATTTTTCTCAAGGCTCCTTTCATGTCCCTGTTTCTCAGGCTGTAGATGAAGGGGTTCAACATGGGAGTGACCACAGTGTACATCACTGAAGCTACTGCCATATTCCTGGAAGAGTGTGTAAATGCAGAACTAATGTACACCCCCACACCTGTCCCATAGAATAAGGATACAACTGAGAGGTGAGACCCACACGTTGAAAAAGCTCTATACTTTCCACCTGATGATGCCATTCTTAAAATAGAAGAAGAAATTAGAGTATAAGAGAAAATGATTCCAAAGGGAGGAACAGCACCAAATATGCCAGCTGCAAAATAAAGCAGGATGCTATTGATGAGGGTATCAGAACAGGCAAGCTTGATGACCTGAGAAATTTCACAGAAGAAAAGGGGGATTTCCATGTCTGTACAGAAGGACAGTCTCAGTACCATCAGACTGTGGAGGAGGGCATTCAAGATGCTAATGAACAGACACAGTAGAATCAGCAATCCACACAGGTGGGGGTTCATGATAACCATGTAGCTCAGTGGGTGACAAATGGCTATATAGCGATCATAGGCCATAACCACAAGGAGAAAATTTTCTAAATTAGCAAAACTCAGGACAAAGCAGGCCTGTGTGAGGCAGCCTATATAAGTGATGCTCTGATTCTGAGTTTGAATGTTCAGCAGTATCTTTGGGATTGTGGTTGTGCTTAAGCAGATGTCAGCAAAAGACAGATCGGAGAGAAAGAAGTACATTGGGGTGTGCAGATTGGAGTCAGAGATGATAGCCAGGATGATGAGCAGGTTTCCCAGGATGGTGACCAGGTACATGAACAGAAACAGAATGAAGATGAGGGACTGCATTTCTGGATCCTCTGTCACTTCCATTAGAAAGAATTCTAGAACATCTGTTTGGTTTCTGGGTTCCATGTTTTTGATCTGCTGGAAAAGAGAGGTTCAAAAAACAATCAGATCTGTGATCCGACACCAGGAGCATCACCAGTGGCAAACACACTCTTGAGAAGGGAAGGAGATGAATGGATGGAAATGCCAAGAGGGTGCCTTCTGTAAGTATATCGTTACTATTTTAAAAGACCTCAAGATGATATAGCAGAGTGTCAATATCTGTTACTTAAGGAAAAGGTTAAAGATGGTCATTGTTCTATTTTTTCTTTTTAAGGAAGATTGGCCCTGAGCTAACATCTGGGCCCATCTTCCTCTGTTTTTTATATGTGGTACACCTGACACAGCACAGCTTGATAAGCAGTGCGTAGGTCAGTGCCCAGGATCTGAACTGGTGAACCTCAGGCCACCGAAGCAGAGCACACTAACTTAACCACTACGAACGGTGGTCATTTTTTAAAAATTACTTTATCTATACCATTCTTATTATTTAAAACTTTGGTAATTTAATAAGCAAAACTTATAGACTAAGGAGGCACCTTGAAGATTCTGTCTGAATCCCCCAAGACCTCAGTTCCATGTGATAAAAATAACACAAAGATGTGTCAAGGACCAGGAACGGAAAAATAAAGTGAAAAGTAGCAACCCTTCTGTAACCTACCACCATCACAGGAATACGAGTAAATGTTCGAGAATTTTAGTAAGACTCATCCTGTTTTAGAAGAGGCAGATTTCTGCTCAGGAAGAAAATGGTGCTCGCCATAGTAGGCAAGTTGAGTAGATAAGAAATACATGAATATTGGTGCAACGGTATAAGAAAACATTTAAAGAAGATGACAGACAGGCAGGAAGACCGCAGGCAAGTCAGTTCTAATCATGGCATGTATTCACTCTGTTCACAGCTTCCCTGGATGAACCTGTAGTAAAACATCTGCCCTCATATCCTGACACGGACTAAGGGACTTTTAGTTACCTGGCTGGCATCACAGCAGAATGGCGCTCAACATCCCCTCCGAATGTACCATCTGGGAGATCTGTCTTCAGGAAATGCAAAGAGATTGAGTGAGACACTGGGCTCTGACACCTGAGGGGCCATCTATCTGAGGAGGCTCGGCTGTGTTACTTCTTTTCTGTGGAAGGATTGTTGAAGAAAGTGGTTACAGGCAGACTGCAGTCTCCGTGTCCCCAGAGGCTCAATTCCCAAAACTCCTCATTAGCCAAGCAATTTTATTGTCCTTGAGATCCCAGAGCAGTGTAAATCCTTAAAGACCAAGATTCCAGAGGGAGGAATAAAAATAGCTTCTTTCCTGACTCTGAGGCCAGCTGTACACCATTCACAATACAATTTATAAAGAAATAGAATAAACAGTCCTAAATTGCCTATGGAACCACAAAAGACCCCAAATACTCAAACTGATCTTGAGGAGGAAGAACAAAGCTGGAGACATCACACTGTCTTATATCAAATTATATTACAAAGCCAGAGTAATCAAAACAGTACGGTACTGGTTAAAAGCAGACAAGTAGACCAGTGGAACAGAATAGAGAGCCAAGAAATAAACTCACTTGTATATTGTCAACTAATCTGTTCTTTTTTTATTGAATAACATTGCTTTATAACATTATACAAATTTCAGTTGTGTATGTTTAAGTTTCAGTTTCTGTGTAGACTACATCATATTCACTTCCCAAAGGCTTATTACCATTCATCAACGTACACATACGCCCTATCACCCTTTTTGCCCTCCTCCCTCCCCACTTCCCCTCTGGTAGCACCAGTCTAATCTCTGTATCTATGTGTTTGTTTGTTGTTGTTGTTTTTATCTTCTACTTATGAGTGAGATCATATGGTATTTGACTTTCTCTGTCTGATACCCTCAAGGTCCAACCAGGTTGTCACAAATGGCAAGATATCATCTTTTTTATAGAAGAATAGTATTCCATTGTGTGTATATACCACTTCTTCTTTATCTGATCATCCATTCATGGGCACTTAGGTTGTTTGCAAGTCTTCACTATTGTGAATAATGCTGCAATGATCATAGGGGTGCATATATCTTTATGCATTCATGTTTTCATAGTCATTGGATAAGTACCCAGAAGTGGAATAGCTGGATCACATGGTAGTTTTATTCTTCATTTTTTTGAGGAATCTCCATACTGTTTTCCATAGTGGCTGCACCAGTTTTCATTCTCACCAGCAGTGTAGGAGAACTCCCTTTTCTCCACATCCTTTCCAGTGCTCATTATTTCTTGTATTGTTAATTATCGCCATTCTGACAGGCATGAGGTGATATTTCATTGTAGCTTTGATTTGCATTTCTCTAATTATTAGTGATGTTCAGAATATTTTCATGAGTCTGTTGGCCATCTGTATATCTTCTTTCGAAAAAAAGTTTGTTCAGATTTTTTGCCCAATTTTTAATTGTGTTCTTTGTTTTTGTTGTTATTCGGATGCATGAGTTCTTTATATATTTTGGATATTAATCACTTATCAGATATATGGTTTGCAAATATCTTCTCCCAATTGTTAGGTTGTCTTTTCATCTCGTTGATGGTTTCCTTTGTGGTGCAGAAGCTTTTTAGTTTGTTGTAGTCCCATTTGTTTATTTTTTCTTTTGTTTCCCTTGCCTGGTGAGACATGGTATTTGAAAAAATGCTGCTAAGACCAATGTCAAAAAGCATGCTGCCTATGTTTTCCTCTAGAAGTTTTATGGTTCCAGGTCATACATTCAAGGCTTTAATCCATTTTGAGTTAATTTTTGTGTATGGCATAAGATAATGATCTACTTTCATTCTTTTGCACGTGGCTGTCCAGTTCTCCCAGCACCGTTTATTGAAGAGACTTTGTTTTTCCATTGTATGTTCTTGGCTCCCTTGTCAAAAATTAACTGTCCATAGATTTGTGGGTTTATTTCTTGGCTCTCAATTCTCTTTCATAGGTCTGTGTGTCTGTTTTCACGCCAGTACCATGCTGTTTTGACTACTACGGCTTTGTAGTATATTCTGAAATCAGGGAGTTTGATACCTCCAGCTTTGATCTTTTTTTCAGGATTCCTCTGGTTGTTCGGGGTCTTTTGTCGTTCCATATAAATTTAGGATTCTTGTATTTCTGTGCAAAATGTCATTGGAATTTGATAGGGATTGCAATGAATCTATAGATTGTTTTAGGAAGTATGGGCATTTTAACTATGTTAATTCTTCTAATCCAAGAGTATGGAATACCCTTCCGTTTTTTTGTGTGTCATATTCAATTTCTTTCAATAATGTTTTGTGGTTTTCTGCATACAGGTCTTTCACCTCTTTGGTTACATTTATTCCTAGTTATTTTATTATTTTTGTTGTGATTCAAATAGGAATATATACTTAATTTCTCTTTCTGCTACTTTGTTAGTGTATAGAAACACAACATTTTTTATTGAGTTAATGATAGGTTACAATCTTGTGTGATTTCAGTTGTACATTAATGTTTGTCATTCGTGTTGTAGGTGCACCACTTCACCCTTTGTGCCCACTCCCCACCCCACCTTTCCCCTGGTAGCCACTAATCTGCTCTCTTTGTCCACATTTTTAAATTCCTCATATGAGTGAAGTCATACAGAGATTATCCTTCTCTAACTGGCTTATTTCACTTAACATAATTCCCTCAAGGTCCATCCATGTTGTTGCAAATGGGATGATTTTGTCCTGTTTTGCAGCTGAGTAGTATTCCATTGTATATATACACCACAACTTCTTTATCCATTCTTCTGTTGATGGGCACTTAGGTTGCTTCCATGTCTTGGCTATTGTAAATAATGCTGCAATGAACATTGGGGTGCATAGGACTTTTGGAATTGCTGACTTCAAGCTCTTTGGATAGATACCCAGTAGTGGAATGGCTGGATCATATGGTAGTTCTATTTTTAATTTTTTGAGGAATCTCCATACTGTTTTCCATAGTGGCTGCACCAGTTTTCATTCCCACCAGCAGTGTATGAGGGTTCCATTCTCCCAGCAACCTCTCCACATTTGTTACTATTAGATTTAGATATTTTTGTCATTCTAATGGGTGTAAGGTGATATTTTAGTGTAGTTTTGATTTGCATTTCCCTGATGATCAGTGATGATGAACATCTTTTCATGTGCCTGTTGACCATCCATATATCTTCTTTGGAGAAATGTCTGTTCATGTCTCCAGCCCATTTTTTGATCGGGTTGTTTGATTTTTTGTTGTTGAGTTGTGAGAGTTCTTTATATATTATGTATATTATGCCTTTGTCAGATATATGACTTGCAAATATTTTTTCCCAGTTAGTGGGTTGTTTTTTTGTTTCAATCCTGTTTTCATTTGCCTTGAAGAAGCTCTTTAGTCTGATGAAGTCCCATTTGTTTATTCTTTCTATTGTTTCCCTTCTCTGAGAAGACATGGTGTCTGAAAAGGTCCTTTTAATACTGATGTCAAAGAGTGTACTGCCTACGTTTTCTTCTAGAAGCCTTATGGTTTCAGGTCTCACCTTTAGGTCTTTGATCCATTTTGAGTTTATTTTGGTGAATGGTGAAAAACAATGGTCAATTTTCATTCTTTTACATGTAGCTTTCCAGTTTTCCCAGCACCATTTGTTGAAAAGACTTTCTTTTCTCCATTGTATGCCCTCAGCTCCTTTGTCGAAGATAAACTGTGCACAGAGGTGTGGTTTTATTTCTGGGCTTTCAATTCTGTTCCATTGATCTGTGCACCTGTTTTTGTACCAGTACCATGCTGTTTTGATTAATGCAGCTTTGTAGTAAGTTTTGAAGTCAGGGATTGTGATGCCTCCCGTTTTGTTCTTTTCTCTCAGGATTGTTTTAGCAATTGAGGGTCCTTTGTTGCCCCATATAAATTTTAGGGTTGTTTGTTCTAATTCTGTAAAGAATGTCATTGGGATTCTGATTGGGATAGCATTGAATCTGTAGATTGCTTTAGGTAGAACGGACATTTTAACTATGTTTATTCTTCCAATCCATGTACATGGAATGGCTTTCCATCTCCTTATGTCGTCATCCAA